GCTTTAGGGTTGTGATTGTATTTAATCCAACTATAAATGAGTTAATTTGTGTCATGTGTAGGATGGTGTCATACATATAGTAAACTCTAAGAGTTTGTTAAATAAATAGACAGTTCATATGAGATCTGAAGAATGCGTAGGAAAGTTAATTGGATGAAGAGGAGAGGGTATGTTCCAAGCTAAGGGAGCTGTAAGACAGGAAATAGCCTGGTAGGCCTGAGAGGAAGATCGATGAGTCTAGAGTACTGCAAGAAGTACACACTTCAAAATGAAGGTAGAGAACTAGGCAGAGGCCAGGCTGCACAGGGTCTTGCCTGCTGTGTTTAAGAGTTTGTCTGCTAAGGTTGGTGAGAAGTGATTAGGACTTTAATCCATGGAGTGGGGAGAGATTACTGATCAGACTGGCTTTTGGAAAAGACAATGCTGGTTGCAGTATGGGGATCAGATTAGAGGGGGTCAAGGTGATTGTACATAGATCGTTTAGGAATTTACTACAGTACACCAGGCTTTATCCCTGGAGATTTTCACAGGTTATTTCTAATCTTAATAACTACAAGAATACATTTGCAGGCTACTGTGTGTCTATTATGTTTTGAAATGATTTCAAAAATATTTTTGACAATTAAAGAGGAAAAGGGATGACTTTGTAGTATTTTCATTTTTTTTTAATATGCAAAGTTTCATATTATGGTTTAAATAGCTTTTTGTGAGCAAGCCTGGGAATTGAGTTTAGAACTTAAAAAGATTAATCACTGGTATCTAGAATTCTTCTGTGCATTTCCTTTATGCTCCCATAGAATTTTGGATATTGTGTAGCAGTGCTGTTCAATACAAATATTTGTGCTGCACATGTGAGCCACATGTAGTTTAAAATTTTTTAGCTATATTAAAAAGGTAAAGACAAAACAGACTAATTTTATTTAAGTCAATGTATCTAAAGTATTGTTTCAACATGGAATCAACATAAAATTATTAGCAGAATATGACATTCTTTTTTTGATTTAAACCTTAGAAATCTGGTAGGTATTTTACCTTTGAGCACATCTCAATTTGGACTAGCCATGTTTCAAGGCTAGTGACAGTGATCAGTGTACAGCTCTATAGGTTCCTAGGTTAATAAGAAGAATAGTTTTTTTTTCCCTAAGATTTTATTTATTCATTTGAGAGAGAGAGAGAGAGAGCACAAGCGGGAGGAGAGGCAGAAGCAGACTCCCCGCTGAGCTGGGAGCCCAATGTGGGGCTCCATCCCAGGACCTGGAGATCATGACCTGAGCTGAAGGCAGATGCTTAACCATCTGAACCACCCAGGTGCCCCAAGAAGACTAGTTTTTTTTTAAATTATCAAATTTATAGAAATAATAACCCATGCAGGCCTGAGTTTAATAGACTTGGAACAGAGTTGGTTGCTCTTGTTATAAAGGTGTGGAGGCTAGATGTCTTAGAGGTATTGGTGAAATTAAGTCCCCCCCCCCCTTGGGGGTGGGGGGAAGGGGAGAGAGAGAGAGAGAGAGAGAGAGAGGTGTGCGTGTGTGGGGGAGGGGCAGAGACTTAAAAAAAAATTTTTTTTTTAATGTTTTACTTATTTATTCATGAGAGTCAGAGAGAGAGAGAGAGGCAGAGGCAGAGGGAGAAGCAGGCTCCCCGCCTAGAAGGGAGCCTGATGCGGGACTCAATCCCATTACCCTGGGACCATGACCCGAGCCGAAGGCAGACGCTCAACCATCTGAGCCACCCAGGCGCCCCAGAGACTTTTAAGTGGGCTCCACGCCCAACTCAGTCTCCCAGTCCTGAGATCATGACCTGAACCGAGTCCCATGCTTAACCCAGTGAGCCACCCAGGCACCCCAAAATTAAGTTTTTTAAACATTTTGAAAGAATTAAGTTGCCAGTTATCACTAATGGTTTTTGAGGCACTTTTAGGGATAAATGGAGGAGTTATCTTGGAACTTGCTGATTGAGGTCCCAGTACACAGACATTTGTAATTATCTTAGATTTCTTAGTGATATGTAGCCTCCAACTAATGTTCGTTGATGTGTGTTATCACATGTCTTAAGCCCTTTTAGTCTGATCATGAGGTAAAGAAGTGAAGAATAGAGTGTTTGTGTTCTTCCCAAAATCTTAGCATACGTGCTTTGATACATCAAAATTAAAATGATTCTTGGAATTATTCATGCTTATTTATTTTTTAAAGATTTTATTTACTTATTTGACAGAGAAAGAGAGAGAACAAGCAAGGGGAGTGGCAGGCAGAGGGAGAGGGAGAAACAGGCTTGATTCGGGGCTTGATTCCAGGGACCCTGGGATCATGACCTGAGCCAAAGGTAGACGCTTGCTGACTGAGCCACCCAGGCACCCGTGTTGATGCTTATTTATTTATTTATTTATTTATTTTTAAAGATTTTATTTATTTATTTGAGAGAGAGAGAATGAGAGATAGAGAGCACG